CGTAGCATGATCAACTGGGTGGTGGAAAAGAGTAGTGTTGATGGCTGCGATCTTCCTGTGAAGTGTTAATACTTTATAATGCCTTGGTAAGGCCACACTTGGAATACTGCATCCAGTTTTGGTCGCCATGATGTAAAAAAGATGTTGAGACTCTAGAACGAGTGCCAAGAAGAGCAACAAAGATGATTAGGGGACTGGAGACTAAAACATATGAAGAACGGTCACAGGAACTGGATATGTCTAGTTTAATTAAAAGAAGGACTAGAGGAAACATGATAGCAGTGTCCCAATATCTCAGGGGCTGCTACAAAGAAGAGGAAGTCAAGTTATTCTCCAAAGCATCCGAGGGGCAGGCAAGAAGAAATGGGTGAAAACTAATCAAGGAGAGAACTAAACTTAGAACTAAAGAGAAATTTCCTGACAGAACAACTTCAGTGGAACAACTTCAGTGGAACAACTGAAGGTCAGGTATACAACCCTTGCCCTGACATCTTCAGTCAATTGAAGGCTCTTAATCCTAAAGCACTCTGGGATCCTTTCCTTCCACTCTAATAGCACATAGAGTGAGAAGAGTCTTTGTCCGCTTTGTATCTACCATGTAAACCCTCTGATCTGTGACATGAACCCTCATTGCCTTTAGGATTTGCTCTTTTGACCAGGCATCCTCAAGGAGGTGGTCCACTGCTGCCCTTGTCTCTATCTCACTGCTCTGTTCCTCACACCACAGTGACAGGGGTGGAATCCATTTGGCTCATCGCTCTGGATGGGGTCACACCCACCCCTTTGGAGAATGGATAAAAGAAGATCCCAGATGAGCCCCCACTTGTAACATTACCCCCAATAGGGCCACAAAAGTCCAGCTCCCTCTTCCCTTTTTGCCAAATAACTTGGGGTCCTTTGGCTTATAGTTACTGATCTAGCGTTTCAAGACCTCTCATTTTGATCATTTGCGTAGTTGCCTCTGCCTCAGTTTTCCTCCTCAGTCCTGTCTCTGATCACTGGCTTGCTTTCTCACCACTCTCTCTGGGTTAGCTTCATTCCCTCCCTCCCTCTGGAGTGTTGCTCCTCTTCTCTCTCTTTGGACCGGCTTCACTCTCCCCGCAGCCCGTCTGTTTGGCTCCTACTGTCTCCCATGCAACTCTGCTAAGCAGCGACCAGGTGGTAGGATAGTGACAGGGTAAGTTGAAAAATGCTTACCCCTCTATCCCTACTCTCACCTCCTCCTCATCTGTTTCCTTTTTCCCATCTTCACTATCTCCTTCGCCTCTTGCTGCTTCTCTGTCTTCTTCACTCTGTCTCAATTTCTCTCCATCTTTCCTTCATCCCTTCTTTCTCTTTCCCTACACCACGAGTCTCCTTCCCTTTTCACCTCCCTTGGGCCGCCCCTTCCCCCCTAATTTCCGGCGGATGTCTGAGAGGTGTCATGTGGCCACTCAGCACATGATGATCGCAGCCATCAACACTACTCAGATGATCGCAGCCATCAACACTACTCTTTTCCACCACCCAGTTGATCATGCTACGCATGATAATTAGATATCAAGTTTTATAGTTTCCTGACTTTGTATACAATAAAGGCAAAAAAACAAGAGTTCTGACTGGAGGATGGTGAGGGGAGGGGGGGAGTTGGCCAACAATTTGTGGCTCCTGCTTCAGATTGAGATTCTCTGTATGTACATGCCCCTGCTTTCTTATGAGCCTTGAAGGTTACTGCAGAAGGCTAACGTTGTATCCTTCTAGATAAAAATATCCCTTTCACTGCATTGGACCATTATAAGAATGATGGTATTTACATGCATACCAAGAATTCTATTTGTGACATTACAGCAATTTTGCAAATGGAAAGAGCTTATTCATGATTTCACTAGTTTTGCCTGGGCTCAAAAACAAAGCAGGGTTGAGCCTGCTGAATATGTGGATGAAAGTTATAGTGAATTTTAGGTAAGCTAGACTGGGAAATCAAAAACATCCGGAAGGCAGCAATGGCAAAGCAATTTTGTAGTATTGCCGATAAAATTATGCATATGCATCCATGAGATCACCAGAGGTCATCACCAGATTTTATGTTTTTATTCATTGAAGCACAAAGAGTATGTTGTAAAAAAATCCTAACTTGTCTTCAGCAGAAGGGAGAAAGGGAGGGAAAACAAATATAACAAAAATTAATTAGAATCCATGGGTGAATTAAAAAATATCCAATGTATTGCATTAAAGAATAAAGAGGAAATAGGAAATGCATAAGGACAGAAAGGGAACTAATGAGAAGAAATAATCCTTAAAAGAAGGCAAGTGCCAGTACTCATACAGAATCTTGCCAGTGAGACTTGCTTTTCCTGAGCTGATGGGAAAGGTATGACACAGGGAACAACCAATAAGAATCTGCAATGGCTGTGATATGGACTGAGCATCAACCCATCTCTGTTGCCAAACCACCACAATCAAGACTCAAAATTTTAAAACTGACTTTAGGAACAGAAGCAGCATAAAACACAAGCAGGTTAAACTGTCATGTAAAATTGTCCTCCTTCAACACCTTGATGGACATTAAACATTCTGTTTAGCACATGCACCTTGTCCTAAGCAATGATCAAAGAAATACAGCAACATACCTGTTCTGTTTCCATTTTCTTCTTCCTGGAAAACAGAAAAAAAAGATGTTAAAACACACATACCACTTACACTATACACAGATGTTCAGGGGAGAAGTCCTTTTTCGTTTTACTTTTTTTCTTTTTCTTTCTCTGTTTTTTTTTGGGGGGGGGGTTGCTTCCCTCTCCAAAGAATTTAACCTTACACTGGACAAAACACTAGGTAGAATAGTTTGAGTAATTAATCCAGAGGTGGGTTTCTGCCAGTTCTCCCTGAGTCGGGCAAACTGGTAGCGTCGACAGCCGGAGGTTCCACCCACCTGCCCGGACGCTTCTACACATGCGCACAAGCAAACCAGTAGTAAAATAAATTGAAACCCACCACTGAATTAATCCTTAAAAAAAAGTAACTAGTAAAGGAAAGTTAAGCCTACTATTGATTTTTCTTTTTAGAAAATCACAAAATCCCATGCACTGCTAAATTATGTTGCTGGAGCCTTAGAAATGGTGATAAAAAGGCATATAGGTTTGCCTCTTATTTTTAGCTAATGCTTGATAAGATTTATAATACAATCCAATGTATATGGATTTAACAGGCATTTGCCATAGATCAAAAAGTCATAAATGACACACCAGATTAAAATTATTATCCATAATTACTGATGCTGCAACAGAAATGCTTGTTATTACTTACATTAAATATTAATATAATAAAACATTTCTATACGAAACTGATGATATTTGAAAACCTGTAATTCTTCTTTTTAATCCAGTGAAGAGCAGGAAAACAGTGTTCTAATAATAAAGATGCTGAAAAGTTTTTTTTCTCAACTGAAGCAAGATTAAAGAAACGATGCAGAACCCAATTCCTGCTATAGAATAGCACTTCATAATATATCGAAGTTTCAGTTCCAGGAAAGGGTTATAATTCTAATTTATTTATTGGTTTGTTTGATTGTTCAGTTTCTATGGCGGCCCATCTCAGTTATGACGCTGATTGGCTTACAATTCAAAAATTATTTATAAACCTTTTAAAACAATAGAAACAGTAAAACCAATAAAAACATCCAAATTAAATATATACGGGAGCAAGATACTTGGCCAGTTTAGCAATATAGCCAGGAAAGGGGCTCTTAACACATTCAGCCCCAGGCTCAGGAACATAGCCACATTTTAGGGCCTTAAGAAAAGGTAACAAGACTGGGGCCATTCTAACATTCAGTGTTGGTATAGAAATTCTAATGCATGCATTACTGACAGCAAATAATTGTATATTGTATATGTCATTTTCACTTATATAAATATTTTTGTTAATATATGTAATGTGCATCCCGATTTTTTAAAATCAATACACAAACTTTTTTTATTTAAAAGCAGTGCAAAATTTACAGAATGTAATCTGTAGTAAAGATACCTATTTAGTTCTGAACTGTTGTAATACAAATGTCGTTAATATTATTGTAGAAACAAGGGAACCCGAGAAACTGTGGAAGCAAAGATTAATACCAAGAATGTCATCAGCATTGCTCACAGGCAAGAGAGGAACTTGCAAATGCTGCCTTACGTTGGCTCACTTCTGCACCTGTTATATTCCAATAAGTTCACCAGGTGATGGGGTCCTTTTATTAGAACTGAGCAGTCACGAGTTTAGTTCATACTGGACAGCCTATTACATTCCGAAACTAAATCTTACGTTCAGAAAGAATTGAAAAAATAGCATGTGCTATAAACAATGTGTCGAAATTCTACTGCGCTTGATCCAGTGCTTGATCCAGTCTAGTCATGCTGAAATGAATGAAACAAATTAATCTTAACTGAAAGCCGATTGATTTAGATGAATCTCCTGTATGTATAATTAGTCTGATTGCAATCTAATGGAACTGACACACTATATTAATAGCACTTTTTTTCCCAGCCATGCTGCATTTTTCGTTTCACTTTAACCTCTAAAATCAGTTGAGTAATAATATGTCCTCCTTTAATAACCTTTAGTATTACCTATGTTTGGCTATTGTAAAAGGAAACATTCGCATGATTTTTGTTCTCAACTTATGAACACAATTGGGACTGGAATTTCCTTTGCTAAGCAAGGCAAATTGTTAAATGAATCATGCCCAATTTTATATTTTGGCAACACTTGTTAAGTAAATCACTGCAGTTTTTAAGTGTCTCACATGATAATAAAGCAAATTCAACTTTCTCCATTGACTTGGATGTCAGAAGCCAACTGGGAAGGTTATAAATGGGGATAGTATGACCCAAGGATGCTGCAAACATCTTAAATATATGCTGGTTGCCAAGTGCCCAAATTTTGGACAAGTGAGTGATGGGATGCTGTGATGGCTATAAGTGTGAGAATCTATTATAGGTCACTTTTTGCAGTGCTGTTGTAATTTCAAACTGTCACTAAAAGAATGGTTGTACGTCAAGATCTACCTACAAAATTCTAGATGTATAGCTGCAAAATTGTTGTTTTCCTTTTTTTAAACTGAGGATGACAGATCTCATTCAAGCTTCTGTGTGCATATTTTTTGGAACTGCATCTTTATCATTAAATTGGCTATCTAAAAATACAGGTGAAACTCGAAAAATTAGATCATCGTGCAAAAGTTCTTTTATTTCAGTAATGCAACCTAAAAGGTGAAACTAATATATGAGATAAGACTCATTACATGCAAAGCAAGATAGTTAAAGCTGTGATTTGTCATAGTTGTGATGATTATGGCTTACAGCTCATAAAACCCCAAATCCACAATCTCAGAAAATTGGAATATTGTGAAAAAGTGCAATATTCTAGGCTCAAAGTGTCCCACTCTAATCAGCTAATTAAGCCATAACACCTGCAAAGGGTTCCTGAGCCTTTAAATGGTCTCTCAGTCTGGTTCAATAGGAATCACAATCATGAGAAAGACTGCTGACCTGACAGTTGTGCAGACACCCTCCATAAGGTAATTGCAAAAAAAGTTGAATGTTCCCAAAGTGCTATATCAAAGCACATTAATAGAAAGTTATGTGGAAGGGAAAAGTGTGGAAGAAAAAGGTGCACAAGCAGCAGGGATGACCACAACCTGGAGAGGAATGTCAAGAAAAAACCATTCAAAAGTGTTGGAGACTTTCACAAGGAGTGGACTTAGGCTGAAGCCACCACACCAATTTTGACACACTCTCTCTCCTGCTCTGCTTCCATTTCAGGGGTCTGTCCCAACCTTGTGCAGCTTCAATGGCTGCTTCTCTTGTAGCCGGAGGTAAGAGCTTCTCCTGGATTAATCAGTGGCTTTACGATGCCCCTGAGATCTACAGGACGTGTCCTTCTCTATCACCGTCTCTTCAGGATGGTTTAGGTCCAAAACGGACCGTCCAGCAGCAGAGATATCGACAGCAATCCTGGAGCACCAAGATTACGTGTCGTGTTGTAGCAACGTCAGCACCACCTCCATCAACGCAGCTGTCTACCAGGAGATTTTGAAGCACTTCATGCTTCCTTCTGCAGACGAGCTTTATGGGGATGCTGACTTCATTTTCCAGCAAGACTTGGCACCTGCCCACACTGTCAAAAGCACCAAAACCTGGTTCAATGACCATGGGATTACTGTGCTTGATTGGCCAGCAAACTCGCCTGACCTGAACCCCATAGAGAATCTATGGGGCATTGCCAAAAGAAAGATGAGAGACATGAGACCGAACAATGCAGAAGAGATGAAGGCTGCTATTGAAGCATCCTGGTCTTCCATAACACTTCAGCAGTGCCACAGGCTGATAGCTTCCATACCACGCTGCATTGAGGCAGTAATTGCTGCAAAAGGGACCCAACCAAGTACTGAGTACATATGTATGCTTATACTTTTCAGAGATCCGATATTGTTTTATGTACAATCCTTATTTTATTGATTGCATGTAATATTCTAATTTTCTGAGATTGTGGATTTGGGGTTTTCATGAGCTGTAAGCCATAATCATCACAATTATGACAAATCACAGCTTGAACTATCTTGCTTTGCATGTAATGTGTCTATCTCATATATTAGTTTCACCTTTTAAGTGGCATTACTGAAATAAATGAACTTTTGCACGATATTCTAATTTTTCGAGTTTCACCTGTATAGTGACTAGTGTTCAATCATTGGAACATTTATTTGTAGTTTTTAAGGGAAGATTACTTTAAATGTGACATCCATCAAATTATGTAGCTTCTAAAGCATTTAATGGCTTCCCTGATTTATACTGTTGACCAGAACAGGTATGCAGCTATGTATGTAATTTATAAGATCCATATCAGCATTTGAAGCTATCATGTAAGTCAATTATCCAGGTACACATCTTGCTTTATCTCAAAGCTTCTTTAAATAAAATATTTTACTATAGAATTATGGCCTCTCTGCTATTATGTGTTCTTTTCAAAAGCTAATATGATTTATCAGAAAGTCCAAGATATTCAAGGCTACAATCAAGCCAAAGATGAGTGCGTTTAAGGCATATATTAGCTTACATTTTACCATTTAAACTGAAGAGTTCTCATGGTCTTGTACCTTGTACCACAACTAACTTAGAATGATTCCTTAATTAATAGTCACCTGATAAATTAAATTTGTTATTTCTCGTAAATAGCATCCCATTTTCAGCTTCTATATTGCAATCTTCTATTCTACATACAAACTTTGGCCAACTTTGCTTTTATGTTTTCAGTTAAGCTAAGCATAAAATTACATATAATTCAAACCAGCCTTAAAATAGAAGAGCTAACCACGCCAAACAGATGTCAAATCCAGAAAACTCAACATCAGCCTGTAAAGGGAAAAAAACAGTTCCCTGTTCCACTCCCACTACCCAAATCAGCAGAAAAACAATGTGCATGTACAGTGTGTACAATTAAAGCCAAGGAAAAGAGGAGGAAAGGAAGGAAAATATAAAAGCTACCCACCCATCACAGTTAGTGCTTTTTGAGAGAAGAGTTCAGAGTACAATGGTTTTCTTAGTACAATGCTGGATAAGAATGACAAGGAAGCAAATCTCTTTTCTGTACTGTGATCAGTTAGAAAATGATTCTGT